TTATAGGTGTCTCCCTTTTTCTCCCCATTGCCCCCCTCCACTCGGTTCCTTCCTCACCCCAGGCCTTCACCACTTTATTGTCTGTATCCATAGGTAATACATATATGCATATAAGATCTTTAATTAATCTCTCCCTGCCCCCCCCACCCTCCTACTTCTGAGATTTGTCAATCTGTTTCACGTTTCCATGCCTCTGGTTTTATTTATTTTATTCATCAGTTTATTTTGTTCATTTATTTTGATTTTTAGATTCAATTGTTGATAGATATGTACTTATTGCCATTTATTGTTCATATTTCTTCTTCTTCTTCTTCTTCTTCTTCTTCTTCTTCTTCTTCTTCTTCTTCTTCTTCTTCTTTCTTCTTCTTTCTTTCTCTCTCTCTCTCGCTCTCGCTCTCGCTCTCCTTTTTAGCACAGTAATGTGAATGCTTTCAGACAGTGAACCATTTCCTCCAACCTTTTAAAATTTTTTGTAGGGTCCTTCAACGTTTCATGTAATACTGGTTGGGTGATGATGCACTCCTTTAGCTTTTTCTTGTCTGTGAAGCTCTTTATCTAACCTTTAATTCTAAATGATAGCTCTTCTGAGGAGAGAAATATTGGTTGCATGTCCTTGTTTTTCATCACATTGAATATTTCTTGCCATTCCCTTCTGACCTGCACAGTTTCTGTTGAGAAATCAGCTGACAGTAGTATGGGTGCTCCCTTGTAGGTAACTAACTGCTTTTCTCTTGCTGCTTTTAAGATTCTCTCTTTGTCTTTAACCCTTGGAATTTCATATTATGTGTCTTGGTGTGGGCCTCTTTGAGTTCATCTTGTTTGGGACTATCTGCACTTCCTGGACTTGTAAGTCTATTTCTTTCACCAGGTATGGGAAGATTCTTGTCATTATTTCTTCAAATAGATTTTCAATTTCATGCTCCCTCTCGTCTCCTTCCAGCAACCCCATGATGTGAATGTTGATATGCTTGAAGTTGTCCAAGGGGCTCCTTACAGTATATTGGTATTTTTTGGATTATTCCTTTTTCTTTTTGCTGTGCTGATTGGGTGTTCTTTGCTTCCTCATATTCCAAATTATTGATATGATTCTCAGAATCCTCTACTCTACTGTTAAATTCTGGTACAATATTATATATTTCAGTTAGTGTATGCTTAATTTCTGACTGCTCCTTTTTCATGTCTAAAATTCTCACTAAGATTTATGAAAGTCTCACTTAGTCTCTTGAAGCTCTCTTTGAGTCTTTTAAAGCTCTCATTAAAAGCCTTGAGCAACCATACTTTTTGTTGTTATTGTTAATTCCTATCTAAAGACATTTTGCCATTGATTTTCAGAGAGAGTAGAAAGGAGAGAGACACAGAGAGAAACATCTATGTGAGGGAGACACATGGATTGGTTGCCTCCTGCATGTGCCCTGACCAGGGCCGGGGACTGAGCCTGCAACTGAGGTATGTGCCCTTGACCTGAATCAAAGTTGGGACCCTTCAGTGTGAAGGCTGATGTTCTATCCACTGAAACAAACTGGCTAGGGCTTTAAGCAACCTTATAACCATTGTTTTGAACTCTGTATCTAGTAGTTTGCTTGCTTCCATTTCATTTAGTTTTCATTCTGGAGATTTCTTCAAATCTTTCATTTGTGACATGTTTCTTTGTCTTCGCATTTTGGTGGCTTCCCTGTGTTTCTTTCTATATGTTATGTAGAGCTGCTAGGTCTTCTGGACTTGATAGAGTGGCCTTGTGTAGTAGGTGTCCTGTAGATCCCAGTGGCTCAACCTCTCCTGTTACATAAGCTGGATGCTCCAGGTGAACCCCTGTGTGGGATGTGTGCACAATCTTGTTGTAGTTGAACCTTGATTGCTGATGGCTTCACTGGGAGGAATTGACCACCAGGCCAGTCGGCTAGGAGGACCAGCTGTGACTACAATGGAAGAACTGCTGTGCAGGAGACACCCCTATGGAGCAGGACTTGCTTTAGTGGGACTTCGGTGCTTACTGAGTCTGCCCCTGAATGTGTTGCTTGTGGATGTGTAGAGTTATAATCTGATATGGTCTGAAGCTCTCCACCAGGTGCACTGACTCTGGGGCCTCCCAGTAAGTGCAAAGTCAGCTACTAACTGGGCCACCCAGCAGGAGCTACGCAGCAATCTGCAGATGGTTGCTACTTGTATTGGACTTGGAAGTCCCCAGACTAGGCCAAGGTGTGAAGCAAGGCAGGCTGGTGCTAGTGCCAGAATTTGGGCCTCTAATTGATAGGTGTGGAGCATGCTGATGCCAGCTGCTGCTTGTTTAAGAGATTTTAAGAAAGGCTGAAGCCTGAGCCAAGACAGGCCATTCATATGGAAAAGCTGCTGTAAACAGCTTAGTTGGGGCTTCAAGTTGGATGGGGCATGGTCTCCAGGAATCACCACAGTGGAACTAACACTGTGGGCCACCCTGGTGGGAACTCAGATATGGCTTCCAGTTAGCTCTGAGATGGGGGAGGTCCTAACATAGGAACAATGACCCCCTTGAGCACCCCTGGCTAGAAGAAAGCTGCCCCTGAGATCCTGCCCCAATGCCAAATAATCCAGCTCCTCCCTGAATGTCCTTGGTTCCCCCAATGCCTACACCCAGTGCTGGAGCAGAGAGCAAACAGGACCAAGTAACTCTGTGCATGGGCCCTTTAAGAGGAATTACTTGGGTCTCCAGCAGCCTCTATGTCACTCAACCACAATTCCCACTGGTTTTTACAGCCATAGTGGCAGATACTTCTCTTCTCAGCCCTGGAACCCTGGGCTAGGGGTCTGGTATGGGGCTGGGACCCCTTGCTCCTCATGGGAGGCTTCTGAAGCCAAAATATCTCTACCAATTAAAAACACACCACAAGTGGGTGCCATACTAGAGTATTCTGCACCTCTGTCCCTCCTACCAGTCTCAATGTACTTTCTTCTTTACTTCTCTAGTTGTAGAACTTCCATTCAGCCAGATAAGGCAGTTCTGGATGATGGTTGCTTTGGGTTTGGGTTGTAATTTTGATGTAGTGTGGGAGGCAATGAGTACCAGCATTTACCTATGCTGCCATCTTGATTCTTTCTAAGACCCCCATTTTGGATTAGAGATTGACTTTGACACAATTTGACACAAGGGGTATTGAAATAGTGCTTAGGAGGCTGTAGATTCCCAGAGCTGGCATAGGAGTCAATGAATGGGGCTGATCAATGATTCTCTCTCATCATTGATGTTTCTCTCTCTCTCTCTCTCTCTCTCTCTCTCTCTCTCTCTCTCCTCTTCCTCCCTGAAATCAAGAAAAATACATGTGTTGTTGTTGTTGTTGTTGTTTTTTAAAAAAAAGCCTGGCAGAGATTCTAGTAGGTAGTTTTCTTTTTATTTTTTTAGAGAGAAACATTGATCAGCTGCCTTCTGCACATCTCCCACCGGGGATGTGCCTGCAACCAATGTACATGCCCCTGACCAGAATCGAACCCAGGACCCCTCAGTCCACAGGCCTACGCGCTATCCACTGAGCTAAACCGGTTTCGGCTAGGTAGTTTTCTTAAATAAATTTTAAATCTTCAGGAAGAATACCAATTGGCTCTGAAAATACTTCCTTAAAAATGTTCAACTCTAGAAACTGTTTGTGTAAATGTGGCACTTGAGAGAAAAAGTATAAAAATATTCAACCTTTTTGACTCATAAATTAATTGACTTTAAAGAAATAGTTCAAATGAATGTTGTTATGGTGTAATTTATAATAGTAAAAATATTGCAACAAACTCAAAGTCTGATGTTTAATAAATTTTAGTACATTAAACTCAGTATATTACTATGTAGCCATTACACTTAGTAAATATGATATCTGAAGCAACATGACCGAATTTTTACAATGTTAAAATGAGTATCTCCATGAACAAAGCCTGGAAAGGAACTCAAGGAAATGAAAATAAGTATAATGTTGAATGTTAGGAATATGAGCATGATTATTTCTTTTTACCTTTTTCTTTTCAGTCAATGCACATATTGTACAGAGTGCCCAAGATTCCCAGGCTAAAACTCCACCACAAAACAGCATCAATGTTTCAGGCAGCATATGGAATAATCAACCAGGTAGAGATATTATTGTCACAATACCAGAATGAGAATGAGAGCTGAACCACTGACCCCTAGATGAATGAGCCAAATCAAGCATATAGATGGAACTGTCCACACAACCATTCTGTTTTCTAGAGCCAGACTATCTGCAACTGAAGTGACTGGAATTAAACCCTGTACCCCTCTGTTTAAAGACTTTTCCTTAAAAGTATGTGAGAGGAAATAATTCTGTGGTTGTTTTCTATATTGTTTTAAGCAATGGTTCCATCCCCATAGTATGCTAAGTGCCAAGTGAAATAGCTATACCAGTTTAGATCACTGCCATAATACAGTAGCCTGTATTTATGCACACATTACTTCACTCTCTAGCATGGATGGGAAAAGGAAAGTACAATTTTAAATTGGGGGCCATGGTTTTATATTTTATCCAGCTTATTCTGTACAAAAGCCTGATGTGTATGAAGAGATTAGCCTTTTGAGGGCTGGACCTGAGAACAAAATAACTGATCATTTAGTCTCTTAAATATTTTTGAATTTTATCATACTCTTAAAAATGAGTGTATTCTTTTTGAATGAAGAGCAACTGTTCTTCATTAAAATATAGCACATTTCTTTCATAGGGAGGAAGCCAGTAGTGTTCAGTTAATGGCCTTCAACAGATAAATGCTTTCAAAAGCTACTCATTATGATTCCAGATTTGTTTAGACTACCTGTAATACAAGCGGCCCCATATTATTAGTGAGAGTTGTTAGTCTTTTCCGAAGCAGGTTAAATCCAAGACTATTGAAAGCTTTGAAAACAATCATGATTTAAAATGTCTAATAATATTTTTAAGAAGTAATATTAATAATTATAATCCTAAAAAGGAATTTTTAACCATCTTTTTCATGGAATGTTGTCAAATAACAATATGTTCATATGAATGTTTTTTTAGGTGGGAGTGAATACTCATGGGATAAGGATAAGATGCAGTCTCCTCTTGCTGCTCCTGGACCTCAACATGGAATTACTCATGCAGCCCTGGCTAGCCAGCCAGGCCTTGGGGGCGCTCCTACCCTCAATCCACTGCAGCAGAACCACCTCCTGACCAATAGTACGTATACTATCCTCCAAAAACTTGGTGTATTGAAAAAAATGGAAACCTTGGGCCAGTAATGCTAGTCTATTTCTCTTCAATACGGGTTTTAAATTTTAAGTCAGAAGGGTAGATAAAGACAAGTTTATTTGAAAAAGGGTAAGGTTTAGCAGTGCTTTTGTGGTACCATGGTGAGTAATCTGGAACCTTAACCCAGTGAAAGTATAGGGTTTATAGAGTTGAGACAGATTGGAAGGTTATGTAACAGAGTGAAAGTATGTGCTACATGTAGCAGAGTAGTTAAGAATGTTTTCTATAGTCATGTAAAGTTGGGTTTATAGTTCACATATTTTGAATTTCACATCACTTTTTGATTTTGGAGAAGTCAGCTAACTTTTCCAAATCTAACTGTCCACAATTACAAAGTAGAAATAAAAATATACCCACTCATTAGAAGGTCTTGTGAGGCCAATAATAATAAAGGAAGTGCTGCCGGCAGTAAAGTACTGTATAACTATTATTATTACTCAGTAATCAAACTACTGCTTATGTATACAAATTCTGTTTTAGATGCTGTTTTTAGAAATGTCAAAGACAGAATTATTCTTGTAAGAAAGCAGGTCTTATGTACATTGCTTTACTAAAATCCTACTCTTTTTACAAATAGAAAATTTGAGAGAAGGGGTCCATTATTTTTTCCCTAAGATTTTTGTTCTCTCACTAAAACCTAGGATCAAGACAACAAAGTAATTATGAAATATTTTAATATGCACCAAATTTTAATGAAATTCATAAGTTATTAAGCATAAAAACAAGTTATGGTGTCTTACTGTAAAGAAGTTAGAATCTTAAGACTGAAATCTCCCATAAAAATTGAATGTTAATTAAGCAAAAGCAAACAAAATTAATGCCAGGAAAGTTATAAATATGTTATGAGAAGTCAAAAAAGGACTGACTAAGGTAGGCATGTCATAAAGGAGAGAAGTTAGAGGGCTTCTGTATAAATATTTCTCTCTTGTCCACGATCAGCACGGCTAGAGAGTGTACAGGAGTCCTGAGTAGGGGCGAAGGGGGATTGAAAAAATGAAAGAGACAGAAACAAAAACAGTAGAGAAAGCTGGGACCAGGTGGGACAGCTGTCCTCTGATAGAGAGACAGTGACCCAGAGCCAATACAGTGCATTTATTTTATACAGTAAGATACCAGGAAGTTTGTTCCTGGTGCCTGCCAGATTTAGATAATGAAATCCACCCCCTGGCGCCTGAGCTAAAGGTCAGACTGACAACACACCTGCTTCTGGCAAGGTATGTTCCCAGGGCATGGCTCTGCCAGGTGCCACTGGATTCAGACAACAATCAGCTCAGGGGCCTTTCCCAGGCACTCTCTACACTTCTGGTTTATGGTTTGACATGTAGAGCTTAGAAGTTGTCACTCCTGTCCTCATAACAATAAAAAAGTGGAATCAACAACTCTTCTTTTTTAAAAAAATATATTTTATTGATTTTTTTTACAGAGAGAAATGGAGAGGGATAGAGAGTTGGAAACATCCATGAGAGAGAAACATCGAAGCTCCTACTGGGGATGTGCCTGCAACCAAGGTACATGCCCTTGACTGGAATCGAACCTGGGACCCTTCAGTCCCCA